ACCCGTAAACCATCAGGGTCCTGGTGACCTGGGACTAGATTTTCATGTCCAGAAAACATTGAGAATCTTTTCACTTTTCCCACACAAAGACAACCTTTGGGTTTGTGAGAGAATCTGTGAAGCTCACAGGTAACGCTGGAACTCGGAGGTTATGTCACCTTTCACTCCAGGTTCACTAGAGATCAAATAATGAAAACAGTTAACAGGCAAACCCTAAAATCAGTCCACACTGACTCGGTTTCACGCGGGACACAGACAGAGGTCTCCTGGTGAAAGTCCTGTGCTTGTCAGGACTCCTGCCACCAGGACTACGTCCACCAGAGGGGGCCCTGTCGGGAACCAGGAGCTCCCGGTTGTGTTACGAGTTGGGAGTGAGAACATTATACGAACAGTAGAAGAAAGACCTGAACTCAATGTTTCCATTAGTAATGTTAATAGTTATTAATGTGTCCGACACAAACCTGAAGCAAGTTTTAACCCTCGGAATCATTAAGATCTCAGAGACGAAGATAGAAACAACCACAACAATCCTGAAGTAAAGTGTGTGTGTGTGTGTGTGTGTGTGTCACTGTGTCTGTGTGTCTGTCTGTGTGTCTGTGTGGGTGTCTGTGTGTGTGCGTGTGTTTGAGGAGGCTGTTAGAGGTCAAACCCATTGACCTGTGTTGACCTCTGAGGTCGGACCTCCAGCGCTCTGTGTTTACAGAGACGAGTGTTTATGTCGCCTGGTGGTGTCACGCTGGGATCAGTGTGTGTGACAGAGTGTGTGTGTGTGTGTGTGTGTGTGTGTGTGAGTGTGTGTGTGTTTTTTTCTCTCCTCACATTCAACACGCGTGCTGACCGACCACTCCGCCGCCGCTGAAACCAAACTGTTAGCGCGACCGACAGGTTGTTGGTTTTTCTTGGCTCGTTGAGGAGTTCAGTGTGAAATTGTTTCCAGCTGCAGCAGCAGAGCCTGAACGCACCACAACGGCTCAAACATCAAACATCTGCAGACTGTGACGCGTTCACTGTCAGACCTCTGACATGTTTAACGGTGATTATAAAAGGAACTCATGGCTGTAACATAAAACATGAGCCTTTACTGAACGCATCGAATAACCAATAAAACAATGACATCACATCGTTGTTATTGTTGTTTAGCTCGTCAGTTATCGGCTGTTTCCTCACTTTAGTCTCATGAACTCTCTGGAAGTCACTGAATTCTTGGTTTTGGCACAAGAAGACTTCATGGATATAACTAAAGATCCAGAGCTTCCTGGTAGAACCACTGATTCTAAAACCAGATCGAGGAAGCAAAGTTGTTCTGACATATTGAACAGAGATCTGTGTTGATGACCAACAGGAGAGAGATAAACACATCCCTCTGAAGAAGAAGATTCTCTCCTCCTTTATCTGTGAACCCATCTATGGATAGTTAGTGTAGATGTGGACGAGGAGACACACTAGCGCTCTACTAGTATACATATATATACATATACATATATATACATATATATATATACATATACATATATATACATGGATATATATCAAACACAATACATCTAAATTAGACTTAATTAAGCAAGTTAATTCAGCATCATGGTGCAGCAGGGTTAGTAACCCGTCACCGTGTGTGTGTGTGTGTGTGCGCGCATGTGTGTGTGTGGGTGTGTGTGTGTGTGCGCGTGTTTGTGCGCGCGCGCGTGTGTGTGTGTGTATGTGTGTGTATGTGTGTGTGTGTGCAGGTTGCTGGTTGGAGCTCCCTTCGAGTCCACAGGGAAGCAGCAGACTGGTGATGTGTTCAGGTGCCCGCTGGACACCAGAAACTCTGCAAACTGCACGAGACTGAATCTCGGTGAGCAACACGTTCATCAACATCACAGCAGGACTCCTTTAATGAAGTCAGAGTAGAAAGAACACGATGTGGGTAAAAGTACTTCAGGTATCCAAAAGAAGAAGTATTTACTATGCAGAGAGGTGAAAGTGTTTTCTTGTTTATCATTATTAAGTTATTATCTTGTGCTAGACATTTATTTTGAAAATTGTATTGAAGCTGAGCAGTTAGAATAACTTCTCTGTAGGTTACAGAGCCGTTAATCTACTTCTAATCATGATTAAGAAGAAGTACAATACATTAAAAATACTCTAGTAAAGTAAAGACACTAGATTACTACATTAGTAAAAGTAAAACATCACTGATGTAATTTAAATGCATAATTCCAAAAGAAGATATTCTACTAATCTATCCCACCAATATCACCGTTTATACTCTCTACATATTTACGTTTAATTAATAAAGAAATGATCAAAAGCCTCAGTGTCACGTGTGTTGACATAACATGTTAAACATTAAAATACAAAAAGCAGCAGTTTTAATGAATCTAATGAAAAAGAGAATATTTACATTCTCCAGCTACTGATCGTAGAGTAACTGATGCTCCTCTGAAGTGTCACAGACTGTGTAACGTTTCGTGATGTTTTGCAGGTAAACTCTCTCTGGACAACGTGTCTGAGAGGAAAGACAAGATGAGACTCGGGATGACGCTGACCTCCAACCCGAAGGACGGCAGCTTTGTGGTGAGTCACATGACCCAGAACCCACAGAGACCACCTCGGTCTCCGCTCAGCCTCACTTCAGATGACAGAGTGTCTTTGTGTCCCTGTGTGTGTGAATGTGTCCTCAGACCTGTGGTCCTCTCTGGTCCCATGAGTGTGGAAGCTCCCTGTACAGCACCGGGATCTGTTCCAGGGTCAGCCGCAACTTCAGACTGTCCCACACCATCGCCCCGGCCCTGCAGAGTAATCAGAGCACACCGTCTATTAAAACATATATTCATCCATT